ATGAAAGTAATGCACTTTAGTTCTACAATTGTACAGTGTAAAGATCTGTAGACGTCCTTGTGCTGCTGTTTGTTTTCCGTTCTTTGCTGTTGCTTTGGTACCTGGAGAGGCTCGCCTAACCGTAAAAAGTGCGCTGTCCGCAATGGAGAGGGGTCATGAGTCCACGCCTCTTCAAGAATCCCCCTAAATGGGCTTATGGGAGTTACCCCAATTATAGGTAGGGTTATAATCCCAGTTATAACCAGTTACTAAGTCCCGTTTGGCCTCCAGTGTAGGGTTGTCATGCCGAGACGTACTTCTAGTTGTGTGCCAGTCCCGATGCAACAAAAAGGTTGTCCCTGACAACACCTCGCCAACCCCCCCAATACTGAATACTTGGAAAGTCATTGGGGCTTTAGTAGCAATGGAAAGAAAATGGAAACTGCTATATATGATTTAGGGTTTAGGGTTTAGGGTGTAGGGTCATGGGGACTAGTAAGTAGGGTAATAATGGGATAATTGGGATTGCTATATAGCTTATTATAGGGCTATTAAACCACTTACTAAGTCCCCATGAGCCTCCGTATTCCCCTAAGATATAACGGTACCATACCGGGTGGGAAAAATGACGGGGGGTGGGGAATGAAAGTAGGGGGGAGCGGAGTAATGGTGAGAAGAAAAGTGGTTAATGATGACAGCTTTGGAGCATGGGAAGATTCAGGGCTGAGACCCCTTTCTGCATTTGTCAGCCAAGAATGGCATTTTGCAATTCTGGTTGGGCACGATCCTGACGTTCAGGTTTAAGTTCATAGAAGGTAGCTTTTAAACCCTAAACCCCCGTGTGCAACATTTCAGATCCAAAGTCTCGTCCACACTTCAGCTGAAATCCGGACCCCTATAGGAGGATCCTTAAGTGAGACACGTTAAACCCCCCTTCAGAACCGCTACACAATCTCCCACAGAATCTTGGGTCACTGGGGGTCAGGGAATCCTTTACAAGGATTCTGAAGTCCAAGAAGGGGAGAGTGGGTAAGAGGGTCCATCCGTAGTGTCATGTAGCATGACAAGGGTCTCTACCCACGTACGCTGCCTTTTTTCCTCCCAGCTTCTTGAGGCTCATGGGAAGTGTCGAATTTGTGCAATCTTTTTTTCTGAATGCACCCAAAATTTAGTATGCCGTGTTAAGAATAACAACCCGTGTTTCGCAAGTTGTTGTGTTTCAAAAGCCTCACTCCGAACCCCAGGCCTTGTGCAACCCTACAGCCTCAAGCCGAGCCAACTAAAAACAACTGACCCTACACTAGGTTGCTGTTCAGGGCCTTAAATGAAGTTACCAGAATAGGGATATGTAGTAAAGAATAGGGTTTCCTTATTTAAGCAACTTAGTTTAAATTCCTTAACAGCAACCCAGTACACCCTGGGCCCATAGCCCTAAACCCTACGCCTTGGGCCCATAGCCTCCACAGGGTTGCTGTTAAGGATCTTAAATTCAATTAATTACTACATTGGGGAAACCATATTAGTTACCATATATACCCATTACGCTAACTTAATTGAAGTTCCTTTACAGCAACCCAGTCCAAACGTTCAGCCCAAATGCTTAAAGCATTCGCCCCCGCAGCAACCCAAGGTATGGCAGTGCCTGCAGCATCGGGGAATGCATGGAACCTCAACTGCGCGAAACGCTTTTTAGGGTTTACTGAGCTGCTGTTAAGAAACTTGAAGTGAGTTACCATAGTGGGTATATATATATAGTATTTAGTGGGTTTCCCCAATATGGTAACTTGTAACTCATTTAAATTAAGGTCCTTAACAGCAACCCAGTTTGGACTTGGGGTTTACTATGGCCGGCCTCACCATCTTGAGTGTACGCACTGCAGGCAGACGGCGAGATGTAGGGCTGCGGGTGTCTCTGCATATTGGGTTTTTCGAGAGTTGCAGATAGGAGGACAAGACAAGGAAAAGGACAGTCAAAGGAGGAGTTTTGTTTGGGATGCCACACGGAAGATACTAGCTCCTGGGCATTGTATCATAAACATTTTGAAGTGTTGAGAAAAGCCTTCAAGAGCAGGTTCTGATTTCTAAGTGTTGGGGTAGAGGTACGTTAGAAGTGTTCCTTCCTATTACCATCGTTGCATTCCAGCCTCTCTCAGCACATCTTGACTTGTATTGGCATGAAGTTGGGCTTCTGCTGTCTGAATTACATGAGGCAATCCTTGCTGGAGGACAAGAGTCCCAATGAGACAACCTTTCCCCATCCCCAACCTTCACATAAGCAGTCGCCAAGGCTGTACTTGGTTTTCTGTTTTGGAGGGGTTGGATGTTTGAACTGCAGTGCCTAAGGCTTCGTGGGCCTTACCAGAATCAGTGGGGTGTGGTTGACCGTCTTGACGACGTGCAAGGGTCTTATTCCTCAAGATTGATTGCGAACAATTGCAATCAAAAACATACATCATTGTACAGGGCGTGGAGAAACATTCAGCAAAAATGAGTTGTAGTACAACCCTACCTTCAGGAGTGCAACTTGGCCCTTCCAGAACCGCATCCCTCAACCAGTGCACCTCACAAATCTCCACAGCTAATTCCATAGTGCGCTTCGTTGCTTGCTGTCGCCACCAAGGAGGTTCCTGGTCCCGTCTCTGGATCTCTCATGGTTAGCGGCATCGCATTGTTTGGCGCACCCTGGTTGCAGGTGTAGCGTTCAACCAGGACTTAACAAGCCTTTCCCAAAAACGAGGTTCAAAATGCTCATAGCTCGGAACTCCACACAGGGGAAAACTTCTGACAGTGGGTTCGAAAAAAGGCCAATTGCTTGAACCTTGTTAGATTCTGCAAGCTGTTTAACGTAGTGTCACAACGCTGGCTGGGGTCCCTTGCCAAGGTTAGTACAGAGTTAACTTTGCAGGTAGTGCAAGCTTTTACGAGCATACATAGACTTGGCAGTTCTCAGCAAATCAACAGAACCTGGCTTTGTTCTATGCAGGGTATAAGAATTTCTTTTGGACGCCTACACCGCGCTCATATCTCGATATGCCTTTCGCATGCAAGGTGCCCACTGCTAACAAAGTCAACCCCGAGGATATTCCAGGGGGCATAGTGAAGGCAACCATGAGAAGGTAGCATCCGCGTTCCCATGCGTCCTCAGCCACACATTCTTGGGCCTTCATAACCAGGCCGTTTTGTCCGGCCAAATACAGAGACCCATGCCTTCACTTTGAGAACCGCCCAGCAAGGCTTTGTTCTACTTGCGCCCCACACGATGGCTTCTGCAGAAGACAGTGCTCCCTGCAGCAGGAGTCCTTTGCTTTTATAACAGCGCCGCTTTCGAAGCAAGGATGCCGCAAATAGAACAGAATTAAATAGAGAAGCTTGTGAACCAGAGGGAAAAATATTCAACACACATTGTCCATGACTCCAGTGCAGCATGCGGACAGTGTGTTCTTCGGGTCTTCGGGTAATCAGGCTGGCGGAGACCGCCGCTGCAATCTTCAGCATAGTGTAAGAGGCCAGATTCAGTGTCAAGAGGGTCCTAAGATTTGAATCTGTGGATTTCTCCAGACTGGTACTGCAGCATACCGAAAATAGGAAAAGGGGGTATACATGTACCCTTTTGAGAATGACTCCTCGGTGAAGGATTCAATGTACTGAGAAACTCCAGCATGGCAGGAGAAGGGCCTTCCAAGGAGACCCGCGAAAAGGGTGACCCAGCTGCGTTTGGCTGTTGTCCGGTTTTCCTTGTGGATCTATCGCTCAGAACAGGTGAATGGTGGTTTATGAGGTTACGGGGATCAAGTTAAGTAGATGGTTTGGAGTCATGTAGAGCCTCCGAAATTATAGAGTCAAAGGTTGAGGCATGAAATTGATGGGCGTATCGCAGTGGAGCAGCTGCCATGAATGTTTGATTAGTGCAGAAGTCAGACCGCTGAAATGTTTCCTTATCTGCATTTAGTGCACAGGTTCCCGTGCTTTGACATGACAAAACACATGTAGGAAGAGAAGCCAAGCTTGAAGAGAAACTCAAATCTGAGCATCTACCTTAAAACTTGTGCTTTCAGAATATTTGAAGATCCAGAACAGTTATGACCTACTGAGATAGCTGTGCTCATCCAGCATTGCCCAGGCTTCTTTGAAATGCGGGCCATCGCTGTGGGTGAGCGGCTGGGGCTATGTTAAGCTGTGCCTAGTAATCTAACACCATTTTCCACATAACACAACACTAATCAACATGCACCGGGAGAAACGTCTGTCTGAGTAGCTGCAGCTCAAGCTCTCTTGGCTCTACATGTAGACGTCTATGCACAGAAGGCTAGATGAAGTCGGGTAAGAGCACGTAGCAACCAGAGTATGGCGTGTGGGGGCGTCACCTGTAGAGTCATACGTAGTCTGGTAGTGGAAGAATCCCTCCGGTGAGCAGCTTGCCTCTCACCCTGGAAAGGAAAGCTGCCGAGGGCGGCAAGCCTCCCAAGGTCGTCGCGCAGGCGCACAGATTCGGAGGTTTCAAAATAACATGGTGCCCCTGGGAGGCTCAGTTAGAAGTGTTGGATGGGGATATCTCGCTAGATGCCCAAAACCAGATCATACTGTCGGTAGTCCCTTTTTTAAAAGACGGCGTTCAATTCAGCTGAAGGGAACCGCTTTTCTCCCCTTCTCCCTCTGCCACGACGACCCTGAGACGCCAAGCCCTGGCCTTCGTTCGACCACCAAGCAAGTCTCTTCCTGGGGGTTAGTAGGCAAGAATTAACCGAATATAATCCCTATGTGATATATTCCCTCATTGCTTACTGACCCCCAGGACGCCCTTCTCCAAGCTGCAAATTTCCTGGAAGCATCACCTTTTTGTTTTTACCCGCGTTTTAGAGTTTAGGGTCAGTCGGGACTGAAGATGTGGAAAGGAAACGGTGGATATCAAGAATCCTGCATGACCCTAAGTACCTTATACCTAGGGAAGTATGGTATTGTAGTATACTAAGATCATGCAAGGTATTTCGTACCAACGGTGCCATATCATTGGAGATCATATAGGGGCCACTACAGGAATCCACTCCTCATTTCTCTGGTAGCTGCCAGTAAGTCACCCCCGTAATCACTTCACCCTAACCCCTAAAAACCCTAAGCCCTAAAACCCCTCAACCCTCAAAACCCCTAAACCCTAAAACCCTAAACCCTAAAAACCGTAAACCTAAAAACCCTAAAAACCATAAAGCCCTAAACCATGACCCTGTGCCTCCGCAGGTGAAGAGCGGAACCGGCGGGGATCCGGGCTACAAGTGCACTGCTTTGATGTCAGCTCCTCGCCCATATAAACGATCGTGTGTTGTATAGGGGATTGTATAAGGGAGTATTATAGGGGTTATAAAGGGGGACACTTGGAGTTTAGACTGTAGCTCAGATTTTGTAGCTGAAGCGGTTCATCAGCGGAGAGGCTACAGAAACAAGACAGGAAGTTGCAAGAATGGACACCTACAGGAATGATGGTGTCTGGTTTGTTTCTTCGACTGGCGGTTCCAGTAGGACATACAGGTCATCCTGGTCCATTCTAGCAAGTCATGAGCTTGGAAGTCCTGGGTTCGAAAAAGACTCTTAGTGCAGGATTTGTGGGAATCCAGGGAATACGCTGCGGGATCCACAGCAAGAGCATCTTATCAGTAGAAGCAAATGCGCACGGCCAGGCGGCCCATGCATTCTAAAGCCATGAAACCACTGGTGAGGCACCCAAGGCCTCTGCCCACGAACACATCTGGCTTTGGCACGTGCCCATGCAAATGCATCTTTCTATGGGTGAAGGACAACCTGTCACTGACGCGACTTCCACTAGAATCGTATCCTACCTTTGAGTTAGATTGTAGGTTCTATGGCCGCGAGAACCCTACAGGAACCATTTATGGCCTTCAAAAACCCCTTTGGGCAACTTAGACTCGCAAGGATTCCTCAGTGCCTAAACCCTAAAATCCTAAACCTTAAGCTTCTCAAAATGGGGGTATGTTTTGGGGACCCGCAGCAGGGGATACGAGAGTTTTTCAAAGTTGCCCCTATAAAGTCCTATGTGCATCACCCTTGCGGGGGGGACCCAGAAGTCTCCATACAATCCCTCTATAGCCCTAGTTCCTTCATGGCTCCCCATTTTGAGACATTCCCATACGGAGATTATTGGGGACTTTCCTGAGGATTACGTGAGGATCCTCCTGCAAAATTCTCATGTGGGTCCTTGCCGGGACCCGATGCAAAGGTAAGAAATATGAGGGAGTTATAAGGTCCTTCTTAGGGAGCAGATAGGGAGCATATTGAGAAACTCCCATGTCATTGGCTTGCGAAAGTAACCTTAAACCCTAAACCCTAAGCCTTTGGCCCCAAACCTTAAACCCTACACCCAAAACCTTAGACCGTAAACCGTAACCCCCATAAACCCCTAAACCTTAAACCTTACACCCGAAGCCATAAACCATAAACCGTAAGCCCCATACAACCGTAAACCTTAAACCTAGGTTGAGGCAGCCCTGTGCTGTTCGCTGCAGAAGGACAAATGCAGCTCCACAGGCTTGCAAATGTGTTTCCTGTAAGGTGGTCCATTTGACGGGCTGTATAGGGGCTATATATGGGATCTCAAGGGATGTAAATAGGGAGTTTGGGGTTCAGGGTATCTATGTAGAATCCTGAATAACTTTCAAATACTTTCAATACTATCCCTTTATGATCCATGTATGAGGATGGTGCCCCACATGATGTGTTTTCTGTCTGTAATGTAGAGCTTTCCAAGAGTTACGGAATATACTATCCTGCGGTCTATATTGAGGCTTCTCCGTCTATGGAAACTATTATGTGGTCTGCAGATTATTGCTCGGCACCTGAAATCTGCCAAGTTTCTGGCGGGAATTCTCCAGCACCGCTCGAATGATTTGGGTGCCTTCCTGATTAGTGAGTGATTGGTGTGAATCTTTTTTTAATCTGCTCCCTGGCCGGATTGGGTTTCTTATGGAAGCAACTCGCTTTCAAATGGAAATCCTATGAAGGAGCCAGCCAAAGTCAACCCCGGGACTTCTCACTCGTGTCAGCGGCATTTTCTACAGGGTTCTGATCGAGGCACCAGGACCTTCGTAGTAGATGACGTAAGCACCGAGGATGTATTCAGGGACGGAGAGTTTGGGGCGTATGGGCTAAATCCTCGTCCTGTTGTGCGAGTGCGGGGCGGGGTACAGAACGTGCATGGGCTTCCAATTGCTGAACCGACCTTGAAAAGTGATTTGTCACCTGCCGCAGCATGCAGGCCTTCAAGTCCGTCATTGCCTTTCTACACCCCACGAAATTCCATGATGATTGTCGTAGGGCCCCGCAACAAGAGCCCTTTTGATCCATTCCTTCCCAGCGTGCCCAAACAACAGGCGGCGTGACAACGCCGGCCGCAGGTCTGGGACAGGTTCTTGTGGATCGATTGCGACTCGGGCAGCAACTGGTTTAGGGTGTTCGGGTTTAGGGTTCTGGCTTTCCGGAAAGTGGATCCCGCTACTGTTGATGCTCAAAATCCTGCATGATCTCAGTATGCTAGTACTGTAGTTTCAACATGATGTACTGAGGGCCAGGCAGCCTTTTGAGTATCCACCATATTTCCAAATTTGGGGATACGGGTTCGGTTATAACATGTTGGGGAAGTGGAAGCCTCCTTTGTCCCCAAAATTTTATAATCACTATGCTGGAGATTCCAAGAGTGACCCTAATTTTGGAAACCTCACAACTGATCACCAGGTTGTATTTCAACCACTGTCGCCTACTGCCATCTCCATGCAACATACGATACCATCGCCTAAATAGTGAAAATGCCGGCTATCTTCCCACCTTAAACCCTACACTCTATGCAATGAGGACTTGGTATCCCCTACTTCAACACCACGGCCCTAGATCCTCAACCCTACGCTTGGATCGCTACCCTTACCCCTAAACCACTACCTAAGCGCTAAGCCATTACCCTGGATCTTAAAAAAATTACCATAACTCCTAGGCCTGAAGCACCGCGCTAGATCAGGAATGCTGCTGGAATGAGCTTGTCCGTGGACGCGGCCTGAAGGGCCTCGCACTAGTGACAGGGCTTCCGATCCATGAGCAAAGGATGGGTAGAGGATGTATGTAAGCGTTACGATTTAGGATGTGCTGTTTCCAGGTTTAGGGTTTACTTAAGACCTACACCTTAAACCCTATACAACCTTTACCAGCCAGTGTCCTGTGGGCAGATGTAAAAGTCCTCTGGTTTATTGTAAACACTATGGTTACCACTGTTTTGGCAACAGCTTACTTTGAGTTCCTTCACCAGAAACCCAGATAAGAGACTAGAGGTTTGATGGTTTCATCCATTGCCAGATCAAAGCCTCTGACCCATGTTTCATGGGTTTCCCTACTATCCCGTCTTTACTATAGTATATCATAGTATATAGCATATCATAGTATATTATAGTATGCTCTAGTATATTATAGTATATTATAGTAAGAAAAAGGATAGTTCTCCTCACCCCAAGGTTCCCCCTTAATTACCTTTAGTTAGGTATATTTATTCTTAAATGACTTTAATTCAGGGGCGAATCAAGGGGGGGTAGTACAGAGGGCAGAGACTTGAGGACATGCTACAGGGTTTTTGAACAGTTTTCCGGGGACTGCCATTTGAGCTAGAGGTTCTGAGATCCTTAAAGCGGGTAATATGGGAGATTGTATAGGGGACTAATTACTATAGCGGATATTAAGGGGGATACGAGGAGTTCAGGCCATAGCTCATTTGGGGTTCAGGGTTTGGGGTTTAGGGTTTCAAAATGTTTGCATGGAGGTTTGCAGGGTCAAGGGCGCCTGTCGAAGGCATGCTCGAAGTTCAGAGGGCTGAGTTTTTGGTTGCACTTGAAGCTTTACACCAACCGACTTTTCTGGGTCACCCCAGACTCTGAAGGGAGCGATAACCCGTTGCTGTAAACGGTTACTCGTCCCAAGAACTCAGATGCTATAAGCCAGGTACTGGATCCCGTGAAGCTCCAGGTATCTACCATGCACGGTTGGGTGATATTATGGGAATCTTGAAGATACCTTCTGGGTTTTTGGCTTCAGCATAGTCCGGAGTCTTGATGTGCAACTGACATTCCGACGTCTCCCAGGGCATGTAGAGATCTGGGGCTTCTCACCCTAAACCCTAAGGAAGCCCCTTCTCGGCTCATGGGTCGCTTTTTGCGGAGCATGTACCCAGCCCCGAGCAAGCGTGGAGCTCTACGCAGAACCCCTCTACCCTTAAGGAACCCAATGGGTAGTTCCCAAAATTCGGGCACGTTTGGGTACCGCTAATAGGTGCAGTAATATAATCTATAACCGAGAACCACCCAAACTAAGTTACTACAATGTGTGCATATTGTAAATCACGGGGTTTCCCTATTATGGTAACTTAATTTTCATTTCCTTAACAGCAACCCAATAGTAGAAGCACCGTAGCTAAGAGCCCGGTTTGGAGTTCCATGTTGGCTTCGGGCAGGGTTGTCAGCAGAGTCCATCCGCCTAAAGACATGTGTGGCGCCGGATGGGCGCAAGGAAACGCGGATTCTCTGTGTGAGCGCTCATTGCCAATTGCTGCTTAATACCGTCCCTTCTCAGAATAGCAGTAAGCAAAGTAGAGCAGTCCCTGTCAGAGATCCTGTAGGGTGTAGACAGTGAAGGGCCATGGCCTGTTAAGAGATCATGTGAGCTGTAGTCTAAACTAAACTCCAGAATCCCCCTTAATTTCCCTTAGAGTAGATTCCTTGATAATTCCCTATATAAGCCCCTTTGAGTTTAGACTATAGCTCATGTATGCTTGAAAACAAGAAAGGCCCATCGCTGTGCTCGGCCTGCGAAAGAGGAATGCCTGATCTTGGAGACAGACCTGGTTGCGTCTTGCTCATGAAAAGCCTGGAGATGAATTCACTTCAACTCTTGAAAGGAATAGCAGTAGTAACAGCACTGGCGAGTGGAATCGGAATAATACGAATAATATTATGTAATAGTAATCCTCCGTAAGTCAGCCCGCAGACCTGTTGTCTTAACGTCAAGCAACCAGAAAAGCACCCAAATCAGCATTTGCTTCAATTCTGAGCTACTTCTCCGACATACTTCTGGCTTCAGGAAGAATCGTCGCAGGTCGCACTGGTGCCATTTCGACCAGTTGACGGTTTTAAATGAAGACAGCAAAAGGCCGCAGAGGCCGCATGCAAAAAAGTGAGCATGCTTGTCATCGCGCAGTGCAAGGTCATTCATGAGATTTGAAAAATGCTATCCTTATGGCAATAGGGATTATCTAGGGGTTATATATGGGTTATATAGGGATACTGGAAGAGAAAATGGAACTACTATATTATTATAGGGACTATATAAGGGTTATATACGGATTCTATAGCCCGAGGATCCCTCAAGATAGTCATGTGAGTGTAGCTGACCTCCTTGCAGAAGAGACGGGAAGTGCAAGGATTTTCCTTCTCCATGGCTGGAGCTAGGCCCCCCAAACAGACAAACTTTTCATTGTTTGCAGTGAGTAGGGTTTAGGGTCGGGTCCAGAGCTTAGGGTCTGCATTCTAGCGTTGCACTTCCGCCGCCACCTTGAGGTTCAGGGTGAAGTGACGCGCGAACGGGGCATAGACATAGACCTTAATGGAGACTTGTCTTGAGGTTCGCAGGGTTCACGGTCAGACTGATATATATATATACAGGTATATATATATATATCTATTAACTTACCTACTACCTACATAAGGCAGGCCTGGGAGACTATGGGTAGGGTGATACTCCCAAATTAAAGGCAGATATGGTAGGCTGTCAAACATCCGTCATTTGTTGGGCATCCTAAGCATTAGAGCCTGTCTTGTACCAGGGGCCCAACCAAAAAAAGTTTGACGGCCAACCATAGCCCAATGAAGAGCTGAACCGCCCCAACGTTGATAGATCACAGGGTCCGTTTTGGGGGAGTCCTTATATTCCCCACGTTCAGGATTCCAGTGTATCGAGTTCATATTCAGGCCCAGCATAAATGGAATCACCCATCTTTTCCCTAGCCTGCCGTCACATAGGGCCTACCTATTATTCAGAGGGATGCGGCTCGTGAGTACCCGTGTGATCTGGAGGCTGCTAGACTTCCTTCTCCTTTATCATCATCTGGATCAAGGTTAGGGATCCTTTATAATTTTTTGGAAGTGGGATTCCTTAGTTTTACGTAAAAAGGATCCTTCTTTCTTCCTAGGGTAATGTGGGCTAAGTCGTCATCATAGCAAAAGATCACTTGAACGGTTGCTCTTACTGCCATCCTTGTGTTCCAGTCCATCCGTATCATGTACAACAAGTTGGTATTTCGCAAAAATTAGGGTCCCATTTTGGTACCCCTAAACATTAGGTGCCGTAATAGAATCTATAACCAAAAGGGGCCTATTTTTGGGGGGGAACAACCCATGTACAACAGGTAATGATGCTCGGGGGTGTGCTCCAGTGGAGAGTTCATCGTTTTGCAGATCGGCTTCGTCGCAGGCACTTGGCCGCATCTCCGCGCCGCAGACAATTCCTCAAAACGAGTGCTCCCTAAGTGGTGATTCCCAATCTAGGGGTACAGTATTTTGGGGTTGGGGTCCCGCGGAGCAAGACATTCCACCTTGAAAGCTGCAACCCCAGAATTGGATACATCAGTTCGAGAGATCCCAACCTCACTTGGCATTTGTAGGCATTGTCTTCTGGATGGCACATTGTCAGCTACTCATGTTTTATCTTGTCTTGCGGCGCCATATTTCAATCGAAGCAGTTACTCCCCACCTTCCCAAGGAAGGCAGTCCACACCAAAACAGGGCGGGAGGCGTTCAGAACCCTCCTGCAGGACTCCCTGCCTCGGAAGCAGGGTGGGGTGAAGAGCCAGAAGCTTCCAAAAGCTTCGTGGCTGTCGCTTGCAGTTGGCTACAAAATCCCGTGCTGGCTTATGAGCGACAGCGTGCAAAAAGGTTCAGCAAGGCGGCTTAATTTGGAAGCTTCTAGGTGAAGCCATGACAGCAAGAGCGGGCGTGCCTCCAGATCAAAAGGCTTTGTTTGCAGTCTTGGCTTTAGTCCCTATTTGAGCTATAGTGTCAACTCCTTAAATTAAGGGGGATACTAGGAGTCCAGACAACGGCTCATGTTATGATGACCGATTTGTTTTAAAAAGGTATTGTAGAGAGATTGTGTTGGCACATGCCCGCATGACCACTGTGTCAGCTTGAACCGGACGTCTGAACCTGTAAGATGTGCAAAGAGCTTCCTGAAATTTCTTAGCCAAGAAAGTTGTTGGACAAAAGGACAAACCCCAGTTGATTATCAGTTTGGGAACGCTTCCCACATGGCTGCAATTGCCTCATGATTCAAACGTAGCTTTTCCTAAGTTAGGCAAACGACTATGCAGATTGAATATAGTAGGAATTCAACGAAAGTATGGAGACCTGAACGAGCTGACTAGCGTTAAATGTATCTATTTGACGCCTGCTTGGTCTTGAACCTTAGACCTTCAGTTCCTGCGATGAAGACCATGGCATGTTGGAACATCCTGTACAGTGCACCGTTGTGCCTGTGAGAGGCTTTCAGCTCTCAAAGGTGGAGTATAAGTTTATGCAGAATCCTCAAGGCAACTGCCAGGAACTATGTAGATTCCTTGCTTTCATCGAGAAGAACAAAACCGCACAAAATGGAACACCTTCAAGCCTCATTCAGCACTCAACCAGAAATCTCCTCATGTCATGCTCCTTTGCACGTGCGGGCCCACCTGCAGCCTACAGCCGGAGGTTCACAGCCCGTGCGTAGGCGAAAGCAAAGAATACGTTAAAGGGCTATCAGACGCAAGCAACTTGCAGACGAAAATGAAGTCATTACATGGTAGCCTGCTTCATACTGCAAGACTCTACGACTTAATGTAAGTTAGGATGACTGCTATGGTGACCCTGAAGCTTGAGGCATGTCATTTGAGAGACATCCTCTTTAGTCATTGATTACAATCCATGGCGCGGGCGCGGAGTCAAACGTCTGCACTGCTGCTCATTGGCGCGCTGCTGTCAGCAGCCAG